AAGTAACTGATCAGTATATTGTAAAAATATGCTTTATTTCTTTATTGTATTCAAGACCTTATGGCAGTAAGAACTGTGTCCTTTTCTTTTTACCAGACATTCAAAGAGTTTTTCATATTCTTATGAATCAGTCACTAAAAAAAAAGATACTACTGGGCCTTACGCTGCCAAAGTCATAGCGTCATGACGTCCTTTTCTAAAAACCTTTTTAATATTAAATGCTCATTTTTACCTTATTCTTTCAAGTAAACTCTTTGAGCAGTGACATATTCTTGGGAAATCATCCATGTCAATGTGAAGCTGGGGTCCGACATTTGCAAAGACTGTGTCTGTCTCCATCATCAGGGGTTAATCAATATCAACCCCTGATTGTGGAGACAAAACCAGTCTCTGAAACATCAGTCACCAACTCCACATTAACACAGCTATTTTCCTGAGAAAATTACATTGCATGCTCTCACCATGAAACCTTCACATCATATATCTTTCTACGAGGTTTCCTTACACATTTCCACAGCGATTTTTTCCTTAGGCATACTACAAGATCGATCCAACATAAACTCTTTGGTTTAACTAATCTAACAATATTATGGAACATATAGAATAATAAAGACTCTTTTCAAATGTCTCCTATCATTACCTATTAATAGCACATGTAATTAAGTATATAGTCTGTAGTTATCTAACATATGCTTCAGATCTCTTAAAGCAGTTCATACATGAGTCAGATCAGATTGAAAATGATGCCAAGATGTCTGTCACTAGCCTGCAAAACGACACGCAACATTATATTTCAGTATGCTGGAAAGGTTCTAGATTCAAGTCTCAGAAGGCATGTAAAATAAATTAAAAATGGTTATAATAATCCTAATACATGAATGGATGAATCTTATTTGTACATACATTTACTATTGGATGTCAGGGGAGGATGGACATAAACTTGCAAGAACACTTATACTAATTCTGATCCTACAATAAATTGTGAAAACAGATCATTTAAAGAGGTTCCAATGGTCCTCAGTCAGTTTTTGGCACATTCAAACTGAAAAGCTGCAAAAATGTGCTTCACAGCATTGTCATGTGTCATGTCAATCTGTCTGCATGTAGCAATTCAAGAATCACTGAACAAATTTTCATGAAATTTCATACTGGGTAGTTTAACACTGAATTTGAATGGACGTGGGAAAAAGAGATCATCACAACACTCACTTGGAAGGACTAAGAAAAACCATGATAAATTTCAGCCATCATAGCTGATATCTCACCCAAGACTGAAGCCAAGCATCTTCCAAACAGAAGTCAGAAGAATTACCGCCTGAAGTGAGGTTTTTCATATTTTTACTCAATTCCTCCAAGCAAATGCCAGACAGCACCTTGATTAATCCGTGATTGCTTCCTCCAAGTTCCTTTCAAACTCACCATTCTTAATTATTCCACCATCTGACACTATATAACCTACACCAGTGTTTCTCAAACTGTGGTCTTTGGATCCGTGGTGTGGTGAATGAGTATTTTAAAATATTTACTCAAAATTGGTGGCTGTAAAAAATGGTTTATGGCAACTCTTACTGTAATTTTTCTCCTGTTTGCAGAAATAAGCATAACTGCATGCTAGGAGAATGTTTAATTACAGCTTAGTGATCCCCATGTCTGCTCACTGCCCGTATAGCGGTATGCAGTTGAAGTTGGAGAAACACTGGTCTACATATTGGACACCCCACCATCCCTTCCCAAAATAAACATTTTCTAAATATTTATAAGAAGATGTAGAAAAAACTGAAACATGCAATTTAATTCTGACACATTATTTCTGTAAGCGTTATAATTTTCAAGAGAATTAAACACAATGGAACAAACTTGCCAGTATTGTAATGTTACCTGTATATTTCCTGACTTGTTTATATACAGTTGTATATCTAAGTGAAACATATTGGGAGTTCTGGTACAAATGTACAGACATTATAATAGAAAGAGAGGCAAAAAACGGATAATTAATAATAAATAAACGATATATAAAAAGTCATACAGTAGCCATTTTGAAATGTACTACGAAAATAAAAAAATGTATCCTCATGATGTAAGTGTTTTGTGAGAATATTCTGCATCTTTTTGGCTACCCTGTCATCAGTAATAAACTGTCTCATTAGGAATCACATTAATTTGTTAGATCTCTGAAACAGCAATGGAGAATACTCTAATGAGATTTGCAGGGTTTTCATAAAAGCAATCTGCATTTCTGGTAAACATTGCTATAGTTGTCACATCTGTTAAAATCAGGCATTCTGAAACCTTCCAGCCATAATGTAAAATTAAATCTGTGAATTGGGCTCCAATTTTGTCAATGAAACATCAGAGTTCAATGCAGATGGGGATGCTGACATAGCCCTGTTGTGATATGTGTACCCCCGTCCATCAAGGGAGTATATCTTCTGCTAGGAGTTTGTTTCATATCCTGTGTCAACCTTCTTATACTGATTGTAACTCCGGCTGTCATACTGCAGGGGCGGATTTGCTTCTTTTGGCACCACTGGGAAGCAGCACCACAGAATGAACGCAATGAACGCTACAAACGTTCCAATAAGTAAAATAAAGTCTTCAATTGTCTGAAAAATGCACAAGAGAGAAAATTATGAGTTTCATGATTATTTAGACAATAACTGAGTCAATATATTGACTAGGCTATGGGCTGGATGACCTGGTAATTGGGGTTCAATTCCTGACAGGCAGAGATTTTTCTCTATGGCCCAAACAGCCTCCCATCCAATGGGTACTGGAGGCTTGTGTCACAAATGTAGAGTGGCTGGGGGTCTGAAGCTGACTATTAACTGTCACTAACATGGCTAGAGATGATTAACATGTATAACAGATGCATGATATGTTTGCTGTGAGATAACATAATTAAAAGTGTCATATTGGAAAAAAAGTAAAGTTATCCCTGTAACAGGCTATGAAGGCAGATAGAGCTGTGAGACATTGAGGCTCACACATTTTCTCTTAGATAATCAGCTCAGAAATGGCAGCAAGGTTGTCAGCCTTACGCACTGGCCACCCTTTACCCCCCAGGAATATTCCTGGTACTTATTTCAGTTGACCCCAAGGCCATAATGTGGCTGGAAGAATTAGGTAAATTGAAGAAAATCCACCTCATCAGGACTCGAACTCGTGACCTTCCGGCTTGTAGCATAGTGCCTCAACCAACTACACTACCACATACCCCTTTAGAACTGTCATATTCTCACACCTAGTCTAAAACAAATTTGTTAAGTATTCTAACTTTTAAATACAAGGTACATCAACTGCACATCATGGTAATCATGAAATGTCCACAAAATAAGTTAATTTCTATAAATCTAAAAGGATCTATGACATTTAGAGAAATGTCTATTCCACTTTGTTCTTGAATCACAATATAAAAATATTTAAGAAACCATTAAAGAAGTACATCCTATCTCACTTCAGCTCTGTGGAATAATTTACCTTAATTGAAAATTCTGAAATATAAATATATGGAAGTTACAATGGGTTTGTTCTTTCATATAATTATTTTGGTGTAATTCTGTATCATAGGAGATGTCTATAAATATGTAAAAAGCTTTCACACCTCTGTATTTGTATTTATATTTGTACTTGAAACAAATACTGTATTTTTATTATGACATGTTCTACATCTTTCACTTAGGCCTCCTGTGAAGAATCTGTGGAATGCATATAATTTCTCTTCTGCTCTAGTCTATTCCATATTATGATAATGATGGCTAAACTAGATTTGTAGTCTCTTTTGTGAATATGAAAACCAAGAAAAGAAGAAATTTCAATGAATGAGATCAGACTTTTAATTACTATAATAGGAATTTTGAGGTTTTCATGGCTCTGTAAATTTGGACTATATTTGGACCATTTCAATTGACCTAATCCTTCCAGCTGCACTATGGCCCTGGGGTTCACTCAGCCTCTAACAGAAATGAGAACCAGGAATTAAATAAATAATTTTCCTGGGGAGTAAAGCGCGCCCGGTGTGTAAGGCTGACAACCTTACCGCCATGGTGGCTATGATTTATTTGGAGAAATAGCTGTCCCTATTTTTGGGACAGAAACCTCCCTAATAAACGCACTGGAGGAACATGCTACCTTGCCTCCAGAGTAACAGAACGAGTTAACAGTTTCTCCAAAATTCTGATAACCACCTACAACACTACATGGTGTCATAACTCAACTGGTCCACTAGCTAAGTCTAGTTATACTATTTCAGTAGTAACTACGACAAGATAGTTTCTGTTCTAGCTCCTGTAGAAATTTTAAGTCATGTGGATCTAGAAATATATTCATTTTCAAACTGCTTAATTGAAAAATAGACACCAATTCACATAAAAGTGACATTTACTTACTGGTTCTTCTCCTAGAAGAACAGAATTCATGAGATACATGAAATCATCAAAAGGAGTCATATTGTCAGACTTTAGACTATCATGTTTTTGCTTGCGTTTTTCATGGCAAACTTTGCTATCATTAATCCTGCGACTTTATTTAATTTGCATCCATAACCACCTGAAAAGTAAGAGAACAAATTTAAAATCCATACATTCACATGGTTAAGTTTTCATATGAACCTTAACCAACACAAAAAGGATACGATCTAGACTGTCAGTGCATGTAAACGGATAAATACAATATAATGGCGTTTTACTGTCCGTCCTACATCATATTTCTATGTCAAACATACATCATTGCTAAAATTCAGCCAATTCGGGAAAATTATACAAGATTCACTCTTTTGACAGTTTGCTATGGAACTAGTTGTAATGGTGAATTTTTCATAATGGAACAATGTGTGACGCAATTACTAAATATTATGTTTTAGAAAGTCATAAATTTAAATTAGTGACACTTAGTGTTCATATAATTATTAACTTTTACTATCGACACAAATAACATGTTGCAGTTCCTTATTCGGAATCCCGATAAAATGCATCTCGTTTGCGTTACTTCTCATGCTTTTCATCCGTCTCATGGCGTAAATACCGGAAAGAGGAAAGGACAACAAGATATTTTTTTATGCTGTTCCGGTCTGATTGGCAGAAATAGGAAACAATAGCACATTGCAGGTAAGTGTTTTTATACGGTTATTCTTGCTTAATTTCTTGAGGAAAAATGTTTAAGTAAACGTGTGTCTTGCTCTACTTTAAAATGGTATATTCTATACCAAACATTTTGCAGAATAAGAGGTGTCGTAGTCTAGCTATTTTTAGTTGCTGAAGAAGTGGCATATAAATAGCACAGCACTGCGACATCTGCTTTAAAAATTTCCAGTCGACACTTATTAAGAGAAGAGTTTTAATCATTAAGTGCATTCGATTTTGTATATGTGCAGTTTGAAGAAAGTTGACACTTAACCTCATACTTGCGGGGGATGTAAATCAACAGACGCTGGACGGTATAAACGTTCACGGAACCAAGATTTTAGGAACTATGAACCAGTCTTCTAATCTAACTTTATTTGTGAAGGCGGGGAAGGATGAGAAGTGTTTAGGGGCGTGCCCTCAGAGTCATCGTGTTCTCATGTTAGCTGAACTAAAGGTTGCAGCCAAAATATTGCCACAGTTCAAAACTATTCCTGTGAATGTATCAAGGCCACCCGAAGTTTTCAGTCGTTTAGGTTTGAGACTGAGAGTTCCAGCGTTATACTTGGGTTTAGATGAAGATCCAATTGATGTGGCTGATGATATTGTTTCACTGCTGGAATCTCGTTTTCCTGGCGGGATTTTGCAACAGAATCAAGAAGACCCCGAGGCAGAACTAGTGACCAGGTATGCTACTGTACATCTTAGGCAGTTGATATTATGTATGATAATGTGTAAATATCTCCATTAGACTTGCAGTGATAAGTGTATTCTTTTATCCCATTTCGTATTTCTTGTTGACAGGGATTTCTTCTCTCGGTTTTGCTTTTATGTACGTGGTGTTGCGAAGGATGGAAGCCAATTGGAGTCTGAGCTTCGACGTATTGACTTTTACCTGCAGAATGCAAGTAGCCATGGCAGTGGCAATAGTTTGTTTCTTTGTGGCCCAAGGCCATCACTTTTGGATTGCGAAGTGCTACCCAAGTTGCACCAAGTTAGAGTTGCTGCAGCCGGTATTAAAGGTCTGTGTCATTAAAAGATTTGGTTTTATAGTATTTTTGCCGAAGAACAGCAAAGCTTGTATGGATTCCCCAGTGTGCTCATGTTAGTTTGTGACATTCTTCTCACTTCATGCAGGCTCTGTCCACTTTGCTGTATTTTGTATAAATTTTCTGCAGATGTGGTTGAAGTTGGACGGTTGGCAGGAGAATACATTTAATAATAAAATGTATTAAGTTCAGTTTCAGTGTTTGCATAAGGCACGGGTTGTATTGGACTAATATGAATCAATAATGTAGTCACCTGAAAGTTGTAAAAGCTATCCATGTAACAGGCTGTGGAGGCCAGTAGGTGTGTGAGATGTCAAGGCTCTCACATTTTGTAGACAGTCAGCTCACAGATGGTGGTGAGGTTGTCAGCCTTACGTACTGGCCACCCATTACCCCAAGGAAGATTCCTGGTACTCATTTTTGTTAAGAGGCTGAGTTGACCCCAGGGTCACAGTGTGGCTGGAAGAATTAGATCAATGGAAAAATCCAATGGTCTCATCAGGAATTGATCCTGTGACATTCCAGCTTCTAGCAGTGCCTCAACCAACTACTCTACCACATGCCCTCTTCTGACAGTTGTAGTCTCAGATATATTTCATTCAGTAGTTCCAGAGGTTAGCTCTGTGCATTCCCTACATGTATCCATTTCATGGATTTTGTCTCCAAGAAGTTATCGGTGCTTACATCATGCAGCAGTGAAATGATTAATATGTTGTTCGTGAAGTTGAGTGATATATTTGTGAAAAGTCTGAATGATGATGTACTGATATTTTAAATTTATGTGTACTTAAGAACATGGATTTTCCTGTTGTTTGTTTAGGTTATGAAATCCCATCAAACTTGACTGGGCTGTGGCGTTACCTCCATTCTGCTTATGCAGAACCAGCATTTGTTCGCACTTGCCCTTCTGATGCTGAAATCTTGCTTCATTGGCTTGAGCACATTGGAGAGTCACCAGCCAACATCCGCAAGCAGCAACATCTAGTGCTCAATGAAAAGATCCCTCAGTATTCATTCAGTGTGCCTGTGTTTGCAAAACCAGTAGTACTTGAGTAACACTGCTACTTCCATAGTACAACATTTCACATGGAATGGTAATGTTCACAGTGGCTAATCCTGTGATTCCCAAACTTTGTCACTCTATGAACCCTCTCAAGAAAACAGAACCCCCTAAATTTTTCCTGAGAATTTGTTCCTTGTGTATCCTTTGCTGTACCTGAAGACATGCTGTACAGCTAAACTTTCTTAGCTTTTGATTAATTTTTTCCTTCTGAAAGAAAAGTTTTCATGTGGACCAGGAAAATTTTTCTGATACAGGTAACAAATATAACCCTTCCATGGATAGTATTGGCCTTAAAATTATTGGCTTTTAAGCATTCACCTTAGGAAATCCACTGAAATATTTTTGATATCCACAGAGTTTGGGAAGTGCATATTTGAAACTGAACAAGAAATTGAAATGGGTTCTGTCATTTGTCAAACTGTTGAAAAATTAAAATTATGCTCTTTGTATCCAAATCACCGCATCCCACCATAACTACAACCATTAGATGGCTAATATTGATCAGAAAAGTAAACATTAGTTAGGTTGCTTTCTATGTTCTCATGATATTACAAACTGGAGAATCAAAATCTTCAGTCATTAGTTATTCTAAAATTAACTTCAAAAATTGTGATGGACTGGGCATGTAGGTTGAATGGAAGAAATGCATTGAAATGGGGCTGAGAAAACTGAAAGCAGTCAATTGGAAGAATGACAGAGAGAGTAGGATAATATTCAAATGGCTCACGAAAGAGTATATTTATGCAACGTAGACTGGATGTAATTAGTTAAGGATCAGGTTCCGTGTTAGGCTTTAGTATTGCCACGTAACATTACCATGTTGCTATTGTAACTTCCTTTTAGTACAAAACGTAATTGCCATCTTTAGTCTGCTGCAGCTTTACAGTACATATAGATAGGATTTTGAACTGCTTTGTTATTTATAAATGAGCTGTGTTGTATATATAAGAATAATGTGAAGTTAGGTCTGATATTAAACTTAATATTTAATCCACAATCACAGTACTACAATAAAGTCGTAGGAGCAGGTGGTGGTATTTTGCGTGTTCAGATAGATTTCTTAAAAAAAAGTGTCATGGATATATTTCACAGTTCGCAGGATTTTGATGGAAAAGGAAAATCAGATATGCTTTAAAGACATCCTTGAGCTGTTGTGGCTTTACTATTGGTGTAATTTGCTGAACATAACAGTGCACCTGTTGTTACTCCAACTTTCTTGCTTCTGGGTTTGGATCTCAACCTGATATTAGTTGACTCATGACTAAGGTTTCCTCAGTCATTCCAAGAAAATTCTGGGATAGCACCTAAAAAGAGGCTGCTACATCCTTTACAGGTATCCTATCATTTGATCCCATATAATTCAAGATTTGGACAAAGCAAAATCTAGAATTTTTTCAAGTTCTAGGCCACATTTTTTAAAGTCTGCATTTGAATTTATCTTTTTGTGTAATTGTAGGCCACCTAAGATGGCATAGCCAGTATAGTGACTAGGCTACAGGGTGACCAGGGTTCGAATCTCAGGAGAGGCAGGTTTTTTTATTACTATTATTTCCTGGGGCACGCAATAGCATAGTTGGTTGAGGCACTGTGCTACAGGCCAGAAAGTCATGGGTTTGAGTCCTGATGGGGTGGATTTTTTCAATTGACCTAATCCTACCAGCCGCACTATGGTCCTGGGGTCAACTCAGCCACTAACAGAAATGAGTACCAGGAATCTCCCTAGGGGTTAGAGGGTGGCTGGCATGTAAGGCTGACAGCCTTAATGCCATGTCATTTCATTTATTCACCTTCCATAAATCCTGTCGAGAGTACATTCTCATGCGGATGTGGAGATCATCCTAGTTACAGTCACAACTAAGAATTACAGTTGTCATCCAGTAGCATACCCATTTGTAATAAAATACTGATAAACATTTTTTTCCCCTTGGCACTACAGCCCCAGCGGGCCTAGGCCTACCTCCACGAACTTCTCCATTCACTTCAGTTTTTCTAGATCTTACACATTTGGTAAGACTCCTTGGGTGGGCGATCAACTCGTCGCAAGGCCTCTACCTGTACACAAACAGAAAAACGCGCACACAAACTAAACATTCATGCCCTGAGTGGGATTCGAACCCATGATCCCGGTTTCCAAGCGAGCGAAGACAGTACATGCCTTAGACCATTCGGCTGCCGTGACTGGCACAGGGTTAGCATTACCTTTATTATTATTCCCCAGGGGTAAAGCCACAGAGATGTGATGCTGACCAGTTTCCAATAGTCTTCATTGTGTAAAGTATAACAAAACACAGGGTCATCTTCACCTTTTACAGTAGGCAAGTTATATGTTAGGGGAGCCAGGATAGCGCAGTTGATGTAGCAACAGCCTACGGGCTGTACAGCTGAGGGGTCAGAGTTGCAAGTCCCAGTAGGGGCAAGATTTTTCTTCTCCATGTCGTCCAGACTGGTTCTCGGGCCAGCCCAGCCTCCTATTCAGTGGGTACCAGGGGCCCTTTCCTGGAGTTTGAAGCTGACCACTCATCCCTAACTAGTGGTGAGGTCAAGAATATATGGATCTGTACTCCCACTGCCTCACATGTCTTCATGGTATAGTGCCTAATTAGTTAAGCTCAGGGACATTGCCTGCCTACCAGCTATATATCAGAGAATTTTGTGCCTTATATTGGTACTCTAGGACCCATCTATGAGAGTTATTTCTCCCATCCATACTATGTATCTCTATTCCCACTCAGTTCAGATATTGTTGTCTTTGATATTTTGCCTTGTCCTGCAAACTTAAGGTAAGCCATGAAATTTTATATTTAGTAATGCCTCTTATAAACTGTAATATTAATAATATATTTAATATATGTAGACTATATTTTTGTAACACTTATACAGCATGAACTGGTTATTTATGATATATTACAGACTGTACAAAATATATTTTATTATTGATATATTTACATTGTAACAGTGATAAATATTAATCCTTTCCATGTTTAGTTTTACGTGATAAAAATGATGCTTTTGTTTTTATATATCCATGCAGTTTGGATTTATTTTTCAGGAACTCAGGCTTACAATATGAATTGTGGAAAATGTGACCAGGGAAGTATATTTTCACAGCAGTTATAAAATACCAAAATGATTCAGAGCTGTAAGATAAGTCATTTATAGCATGGAAAGGGTTTAAATTTTACCAAAGAAATCACTGCTATATTGCTGTGTCAGATAATCAGAAAATAATGATGTACTGACCTTAACTTCATAGTGTTTGCTTGAGTTTTNGTCTGTTTTTTTTTTTTTTTTTTTTTTTTTTTTGCAAAAATTTTGAAATACTTTCCAGCATTGCATGTTCTTCACTCACAACAATATCTTGGTAAATATGAGATGTGATTTCTGGGACTTATCTTTTCAGATTAGTATCATAAGCACAATTTAGTAGGCACTGAATATAATCTAATTATGTTCAGTTAGGTCTGTAGGATTGGATTCACCTGGCTAAGGTTAGAGTTAAGCGTTGTATTGTTTTGAACATATTAATGAATGTTTGGGTTCCATAATACGGTGGGAATTTCTTTATTAGCAGCTGTTAACTTTTGAAGACAGACAGCTAGTCCGTGAAGTTAGATAATATTACAATATTAATATCTTTTATGCATATGTGCTATATTATAGGAGTTTAGTTTTTGCAATATTTAGTACAGACATATTCATAAGTGGAGTTTAATTTTTTTTGAGGATATTACAATGGTAGGCTCTGGAATGATGAGACATGGTGAACTCTGGAACATTTTGTTCCACTGGAGTGTCTTCTTTACTTTCATTTTGTATTGATCTGTTTAAATTAAGCTTTATGCCTTAGCTCAAGCGGTTAGTCGCTGGCTTCCCACTGTGGCAGCCCGGGTTCGATCCCAGGTCTTGTCAAGTGACGCTGGGATGGGTTTTCTCTTAGTACTTCGGTTTCCCTTGCCAGTCTTCATTCCACCAAATTCTCCATGATAATCACCCGGGGCAGGTACTCCTTCTTGATAACAAATCTCTCACTGTATTTCTTCTGGTTCTTGGGCTGGTCTCTAGTCTTCTGCTACTCAGTACATCTGATTGCTCTGATAGGCAAATTCCTCTCCTTTCATAACTTCAGGAGAACTGTATAGATATCACGGCCTTCAAGGGTTCCAATACTGTGTCATGAATGCGTTGCCTTGGAAACCTACGTATTCATTCCCAAGCAAGTGTTTCGTTTCTAAGTGTTTACAACATGTTTCCTGTAACAACACGTTCACCGCTGTATGTTGTAATGGGAACATTGCTGAGCAACAGACATATGGTTCTGACTGCACTATTAGGGCTTTCAGTTGTCACATCACAGTATATAAGGATCTTGACTTTTTTGAGGGCATCAATGTCCACCTGTATTGCCCTGTGTATGTAGAGGCCTATAGTGGTCTGGTGCCCCCTATCTCAGGAGTCCTAATGCTTCCCAGAATTAGGCTCTAACACCGTACAGAGAATCATCATCGTCATCATCATCACTGGCACAACAGCCCTTTGTGAGCCCTGGCCTTCCTCAGGATTGCTCGCTATTCTTCTCTATTCGATGCTACATTACTCCAGTTCTTTACACCCAAAATTCTTATGTCCTGCCACACACATTCTTCCCATCTTAACCTTGGTCTTCCCACTCTCCTATTTCCTTCGTACAGAGAATCTGTGATTTCTATTTCATGGTACACTGTGGCCAGTACATGTGGCATGGTTGTACAGAGGAAGTACATGACACTGCTGGAAAGCATTAGTTGAGCTTGTATGGTGTAGTAATTAGGTTTACTGGGCATTAACATTGTGTATTATACATAATCATAATCTGTCTGTAGGATTGGCTGTAGTACAAAGCTTGTTGGCAATGTTTATATTGTGTTCACTCACCAAAGAATTTATAAAATATTTTTTGCAATGTTGCTTATGCATACAGTGTGATGGCTGAAGCTGTGTATTGAAATTATGCCAGATATGGTGGAACAGAGGAAACAAGAGAACTACTGCAGGAAATGCTTGAATTATGATGATAGGCACAGCGTAACCTGTCACAAAGATCAGAGAGAAAAATGTCATTAGAGTAAAACACTGTAAAATGACTTATATTAGAATTGAATGTTATTGTAATAATTAGATTTCAATGTATGTAATGGTGTTTGAAAGTTTCAGCTTCATTGAAAGTGGAAATAATAACATTTTAGTTTATTAGTTGAAGTGAGGTGACACCAAATCTCATGATACTTTGGTGTGGAAGGTGCTTGTTGTGCCTTCCCCTGATAAAAAGATGAGTATGGGGCATTGGTGGAATAAATTGGCAAGAGAACTCTAAAGTATTCAGGTTAGAATCTTCCCCAGTGCCGTTTTGTCCACCACAAATCCCACATTGACTACCCTAAGATTGAAATGGTACATCCGTGGTGAGAATCTGCTTAATAATTACCTGAGCTATGGCATTACCATTTCAGTCATCCTTTCTGCGTGAAGCGTAGTCAGAATACCAAAAGCCTTTGTTAATTCAAAGTGAATACATTCTGCTTTTGGTAACTGAACCAGCAAAGTTGAAAGTTGAAAGTAAAAAAAAAAAATACAAGCTCTGAGCAGACATGCTTAACATGCAGGTTCATGTGCTGACAGTAGACTTCATTCCCTTTTCCTTGTAAAGTGACCTGTCTGTAAAATGTGAGGACACAGATTTCATGTGTTTTCTTGAACAGAGTCCAAGACGCCATACTCTGTATGATATTAAGTACAGATATTTATGTTGTTAAGTATATACTGTTTAAAATTAATTTTATATATAATTAAGATTTTTTCTCATTCATGCATAATGTTTATCAGTGCTTTTAATAATTCTTAATATTTTTGTTAAAGGTCAACAGAATTTTGCAGATGTACACCCAAAATACTAACTTAACTGTTTCACTTGGGATTTGTTTGAAACTGGCTGCTCCCTGCAGTAACAGAGAATTACTATAATTGGAAAAGATCTAATACAGAAAAACCATGTGCCCTTAAGAGCTGTAATGTGAGTGTCAGAATTATATACTAATAAATGATAAAACAGAAAGACAAAGTGGACTGCAGTTTTTTTCCTTATGATATACTGGTTGGATTAATTTTACTGAGGATCGGGTACCAGTGGCAGGTTCTTGTGAACATGGTAATGGACCTTTGGGTTCCACAGAAGGTGGAGAATTTCTTGACTAGGTGGCTGTTAGCTTATCAAGGACTCTGCTCCATGAGGGGATTGTCAGATATAATGTGGTGCTTGGACACAGGTTTCCTTGATTTTGGCATATATTTGAGGACTAGACACAGAGTTTTGATTGGTAATTGGATTTATTCAACACTACAGATCATAACTGCAAATAATTATTGCGCTCTCTCTAATTCACGCACTTTACTATTCATTATATCACACGCTAAGTCTCCTCAGATTGTCTTCACCAGTCGTTGCTTTGTAACAGATCTCAACAGTGACCTCAGCTTCTGTCAGTCCAGTCTGGCTGCTGTCTTGCATCTTACGTGCTCCCAATGCCCTCACGCTCGGCTTCTGGGCCACAACTGCCTAACCACAGTCAGTTACTTTATGACTGGCGGTGTATCTCCAATCAGTTCGTCTTGGCGCCAAGCCCCTGGAGACTCACAACCAGAGTCCCACCCCATCTGATCCCTTGCAGTCATAGCCCTTATGTAACATCCTCTCTCATGAGAAGGTGTGTTTGTCTCATGAATTGAATATGCTTGGCTTTTTGTCAAATGTATGTATCGCACATATAGCATGTTATTGAAAGTTCTTCCTTTTGCACTATATACAAGGCCTTTGTCAGTCCAGGCTTTGCAAAGCAGATCATGCAAACCTTACTTATGCTACAACAGCAGTTAGATCATTTAAATTGTCGTGAGCATGACCACCGCCACGTTTAAGCCTCTTGTATTTTCTGTGTATGGCTTTGCCTTCTATACTACAAGCATGTTCATTTTGTTGATTTTGTATGACTTCTGCTTGTTGCCATCACAGTTTTCATATATAATCATATACATATGGAAGATCAAAAGCTGTGTGCACCTAGGAAAATTTCCAGTGGTGCAGTGAACCATGTTTTGTAGTCGCTGCAATTTTAAGAGGTAGGTGTCTGCCACTAATTTCCAGGCGGTGCAAGCATAAGTCATTACTGATCTGATCAGTGCTCTATGAGGGTTAGTTTAATGCTGACACTTAAACACTCCCTTCTGAATAGGGAACAGGTTCTAATAAATGTTCTGAAGGCCTTGGCATCAATCATTTCTATGTGCAGTCTCCATGTAATCCTCTTATTGAAGATTACACCGAGATATTTTGCATGATTGACAAAGGTGATATTCCATCCATTCAGTGTAAGATGAGCCTCAGGGGGCCTAAAGCTGTAAGAAAAGTAGATGGCCTGAGTCCTATCATCATTGATTGTTATATTCCAGTGTTCACATGAAATCTCAATAGCACCATGGCTGTACTGCAGTTTTCTGGGAATATAACCCTTTTTGCTGTTTTGCACATATGTACAAGTGTTATCAGCAAAGAGACATAGATAGACACCAGGTATTTGGGGCATATCATTTATATATATATAGTGACATATTTGTGCTATGCAGGACACCCTCTCCTCCACCAGTGGTGACATGACAGCATCGGAGCGCTGTCGCTGCTACGGTAACAGGCCAGTCAACACTCCGCCGTCCCCCCCCTCCCCTGCAATAACATAACAGCACTTCCCACTGTGATGTAACAGGGGACACCGCTGTAACATGAGGCAACAGGGAACGGTATAAAAAGCCGGCTGAACAGTATGTGACCAGAGTGTGTGATTGTGAAGTTGTCGAGTTCAGTTGAAGTATAGCAGCAGTCATGGAAATACCCAAATTCATGGTTAGAAGATTTTATGTGATAGTGTGCGATAACGGAGAAGTCAGCCAGTGAAGACTTATTGTGTGCCTTCAAGACTTTGTGTGTGCGGTAGTACAATTGTATTGGGCGTGTGTAATATGGTGGCATTTGTATAGCTCCCTTGTTGCACTGTGAATAAGTGAAGACTGTTGAAGATAGTGTGAAGAGATTATTGTGTGGGGTTTGTAAATTGTCTAAACCCACAACAGTGTTATGAGTATTTGTAGTTACGACTTGTAGGTTGTTAAATAAACCAATTAACAATCCGAACAGCGTCTTCAGTAACAAAACACGTTACAATATACATATACTGTGGAATGTGGGGGCAGGATGGAACCGTGTGCCACCCCACTTGTGTATGTATCCCCTGGTGCAGATGTTTCTCCTTCTATCAAGACTCTGAAGCTAATAAGCTTGATTAGACTGATCAAAAATTTTAATTCTGGTTATTTATGTACCAGGCCAAGGTTTTGTCGAGGGCTTTTTCAGTGTCCAAGAATACAGCAGCCATAGACATGTTGTTGAAATTTAAGGTGATGTCTGTAAGCCCCAGCCTTTGATGTGTAGTGCTGTGACAGGAATGGAAACCAAACTGGCATACATTAAGCAGGCCTCTTTCTTCAGTGTGCCTTAGGACTATGTTTCAGAATAACTTACTCGAATAGCTTGCCTGTTATAGACAAGAGGCTAATCGGATGTAAATTTTGAGAGAATTTGGGATCAACAATCAAATTCCTTCCGTCAAATGTGACACTTTTTTAAGTTTTCCACCTCGTCACCACCTGCCTTACATGTTTCGGCTCACCACGGAGCCATCATCAGAGGCATTTATAGTAGAAAAAGAAATCACCAACACACAAAACTTCACTTTGTC